AGATGCCTTTCATGACTGTGACACTGGGACTGGCATCAGATAGCAGACTGATGGCAAGTTTTTCAATCTGAGGAGACTACAGGCAAAGACGAAGATACAGGAAGTGACTGTTCACAATCTTCTGTTTGCTGATGAAACTGTTCCCTGAATGACAAATCTGAGTCTAACATGGGGTGGAATGTGGACTATTTCTCTTCAGCTTGTGACAATTTTGGTTTCACAATCAACATCAAGAAGACACAAGTGATATACCAGCCTGCACCAGGAAAGCCTTACATAGAGCCTACTATCACAGTGAATGGCCAAGCGCTCCAGGCAGTGGACAAGTTTACCTACATTGGCAGTAAACTTTCACATGCAGTTGTCATTGATGATGAAACCAAAGCATGTATGGCCTTTGGCAGATTACATGCAAATGTGTGGGAGTGCAGAAGCATTAGTCAACAAACAATTCTGAAGGTCTACAAAGCTATTGTGTTTGCATGCACTTTGATGTACGCATGCAAAAATGGACAGTATACAGACACCATGTTATGAAGATGAATCACTTTCATATGGCCTGTCTGAGGAAACTGATGAGGATAAGATGGCAAGACAAATTTCCAGATACTGAGGTTGTCATATAGGCAGGTATTCCAACCATCCATACTCTGATGAAATCACAGGTGAAATGGGCAGGCCATGTCACCAAAATGTTAGATGAGCGACTGCCAAAGAAGATCTTTTATGGTGAGCTAAAGGAGGGAAAACACTCTCAGGGAGGCTAGAAGAAACATTTCAAAGACTCCCTCAAGTTATCCTTCAAGCATTTCAACACTGACCCAGAGTTTTGGGAAGATCTCGCTTGTGATCGTTCTACTTGGCGAAGTCTCATCCATACCAGAGCTACCGTCTATGAGCAGAGGAGAACTGAGGCATAGCAGAAGCGCCAGCAGTGTAAATGTCACAACAGCAGCATGTCCGCTCTTAATCAAGTAACTCACAGTGGCATCTCTCGTTCAGTGTGCCACAGAAAGTTCAAAGCTCAAACTGGCCTGATCAGCCACTCACTTGTTCACAGAAACCAAACCAATCAGTAATGTCATGGTCATTTTTGAATTTGAAGGACAAACAACAACTTTGCCCTATAGTGACACCATGAAAAAAGTACAATTGGGATTATCACAATAGTGTTATAATCCCAGGACAGATTAAACTGATATTTAAAAAACACAATATTTTTCTCTTCCTGGTGATCTTATGACAGGGTGGAGCTACGGTAGCACAGGAAGTCTATGCCAAAATTGAAAAGTGAGCCAAGATATCCCTGGTCCCATTCCTGGATTTTTGGGGCAGCAAAAGGAAAGAAGGCTGGCAACATTGCAAAGTGGCAGGAAGGTCTGGTTGTGCATTACAATAGAACCTCAGTTACGAACACTTTGGGAATGGAGGTTGTTTATAACTCTGAAACATTTGTAACTCTGAAGTTGAACAAAACATTATGGTTCTTCAAAAGTTTACAACTGAACATTGATTTAATACAGTTTTGAAACTTCACTATGCAGGAGAAAAATGCTGCTTTCTCTTTATTTTTTTAGTAGTTAACACAGTACTGTACTATTTATTTATTTTTGTCTCTCTGCTGCCTGATTGCATACATCCAGTTCCAAATGGGGTATGTGGTTGACTGGTCAATTCGTTACTCTGAGGTTCTACTGTATGAGGAGAGGTGAGAGGCTGGGATGCATGATTACAAATGATGGGGAAAACAAGGTAATGTGGGAAGGCTGGAATAAACAGGTTGTAATGGGAATACCATTTCTTCATTTGTGTATTGTGTAATGTTCCTGTAGTGAAGTTTCAATATGGTTTATTCAGTAATAGTGATTCATAGTATCACTAGTTGATGAAATTATACCACGTAGTGATGCTGCCCATACTCTGTGCTGTGAAATGTGATTGCATGGCATAGTTTCTTCTGTGTTGGCTGTTGAACAACATCACTGCTATGGTTCTTGACGGTGGTAAATTCATGATTTTGAAATGGATTAGTTTAGAAAGAGGGGCATCCAGATGCTCCATGGCCGCCTTCCCCAAGTAAAAGCATATACAGAATAGCAGTGAACTGAGCAAGACTGCCACAAATCCGTAAACTGAATTTGGGGCATTGTCATGTCTTATCTGATGACATAGCATTTTCATGTGATGACTCTAAAGTTGTCGTGAATTGAAACATCACACACAGACTATGTAACAACATGAGGCAAATTTTTTATATTACTCCACAATCAAATGCAGTAATAACACATATTGCCACTATATAAATAAGAAATACTAAAATGGTTATGGTATGGCTTAGGCCCCTTCCAAGACTGTCCTCGCAGGGAGCCTCCAAAAATAGTAACCTGATGGTCATAACAAGAAACATTCTCCCCCTCTCCAATGTAACTGACATTTAAATTTTTTTAAATCCTAAATTAGACTACTACTTCATTACCAGCAATTAACCAAATAATGAAAAATTATTGAAGATCTAATTAGAAAGAAGCTCAGCGTGCTTTTAGAAACATCAAAAGGACATCTATTATTGCCTATGGCACAAAGAAACTGCATAGTGTCAGAAAGTTTTCTATAATATGCAGTTTTAATAGAAGACAGCCATCTCTTTTGCTGCTGTTTTTTGTAATCACCCTTTTCTTGAGTTTTCTTTCTTCCAGCTCTGTCTTTTGATCACTACGGTTATTGTACTGTACCACAGTAGCCACTAAAAACACACATGCAGTAGGCAGGAAAACTAAAAAAAATCCTTCTCCTGAAAAGGCTGTAAGGAGACCCCTACCACAATTTTCTTTCAGTCTGACTATAGCACTGATTAGGGAGAAGAGGGTATCTTTCATGTATTACATGGGTATATGCAAATCGATTCAGTGTAGCACACACTGGCTGATTGCAATGCATTTCTGCTGCAGCTTTTCCATTTGATCCTGACTTCTGGAAGATTTGAACCATAGCAGAGATGAGTGCATAGGATTAATTTAATATTTAAAATATGTCAAGGTAAAACCAGAAGCTAGGGTAGGAAGGCAGATCATGAAATAAGCTGTCTGTATCTACAACATAAGCTTAATTTATTATCTGACAGATGGCTGTGGGTGGGGGGCTGCAGAGCAGGAAGGGGAAAGGCAGCTGATGAAGTAGTGAGTTCCCAGGATCTGTAACCAAGGCTCCATACATTGTCATTGCACAGCTGTGGAATCAATTGCCTGTTACAGAAAACCAAAAAAATCACAAACTAAGAATAAACAGATGCATTATTGTCATCCTGAGCCTGAAGCCTGGCTGGAAAAGCAACTCTGACAAGTGTGAACCTATCCCATGTCATATGATTGGGATAACTCTGCAACTTAAAGATGACCATTTGAACATCAATTACTGTTAACTATTTCACTGCTGATCATTTTAGCAGAAACATCCACCTAACAGGCCTGTCCCAAAACTGCAAGCTGTGTCCTACCTTGCTCGAGGTTCCAAAACCTCCAGCTTTCCCCTTCACAACTTCTACGTTGTAGCTATGAGTTATCAATACACACACACACACAAAGGCAGCACAAGGAAGATGTGGGAACACTATACAATGGAATACAGTGATTTTAGTTTAAAAATAAATAGAAAAGCTTGTGTATTAATTATACTAATTGGTTCCCTATTTTGCAAAAAAAAAAAAAACAAAAAAAAAACCCAACCCTGATTTGTAAAATTTAAATGCGGCTGCAGCATAATTTCCAGTCTTCCAGAGAAATCACATGCTAATTGGTGAATTTAGGTATATCATGCCATGGAATATATGGGCCTTGTTTATCACTACTATCAAATTCTAGGCTATATCAACATATTACCAAGAAAGTAAATTGGGGAAAGGAGGAAGTGAAGTAGAAGTTCACTTAGCAATCAAATCCCAGAGTACCAATAATATGATTGTTACTGAATGCAGGCTATAACACAGCATTTAATATCATCATGAAGATGAGCTAAGGGGTGAAAAGTCTCATGTTCCAATAAGACACTCCCACTATCTTGAACCATAACATATCATTCAGTAACCTAGGGTTAGAGGGTGAACAGAAGCTCATGCACCAATAAGCTCTCAGTATTTATAACTGAACAGGGACCCCAATAGAGAAAGCTGAGGCAGAAGAGAGTAATATTTCATAATTTACCTTCAGGGATAGAGGGCACCTTGCTCTTTTCCTCACCCCCACTGACTGGCTAAAACCAGAACTGTTCAATGCACTATTAATGGACTGAGAGTCCCTGTGTGCTCTGCACAGAGAGATGGTGTCTAGAGGAATGGAGCCATTTTGACCGCTGTATGACAGTGACAGTGAGTAAAGGGAGAAGACGGGGAGGGGCAGCCTCTCTCCAGAGTGGACTGGAAGAAGAAAAGAGCGGTAGAAAGGCTGGAGATAGTAGGCATGGCAGGGGCAGGTGGAGAGTAGCAGGGGACAAGAAGAAAGCAGTAAATAGTGATAACAGGGGATGAGGGGGTCAGCAGGGGTTGGCAAAGGAAGACTAACTGGAGAGCGAGGGATAATGGGACAGGAATGCTGGGGGAGATGAGGAGAACGGGGAGGGGAACAGAATACAGCAGAAGGCGCTCGATATAGGCAGGTTCCATCAGGGCAGGGAAGGAGATCCATAGGGGATGTACAGTAATAGGGTCTGGAGAGCTAACAAAGAGCGGAGAGCTGGGGCAAGGCAGAGAATGGGGTGGGAAGCAGAGGCTAGGTGGCAAGCAGTGGCTGGGGCACGGCGGGGGCTAAGGGGAGCAGAGACGGGCACGGCGGAGGCTAGGAGGGAGCACAGGCTGGGGCCCAGCAGGGGTAGGGGGAAGTAGAGGCTGGGGCACGGCACTGGCTGGGCGGTGAAGCGGCAGCTGCGGAGAAGCAGAGTCGGGGCACTGCCTTGGCTGCGGCGCAGCGCAGGCTGGGGCACGGCAGGTGCGTGCAAGCGGCGCCGGGTACCTCGGATGCTCCAGCTCCAGCGGTAGAACTCGAGGGTGTCGTTCAGCAGGCTGGACACGAGGCCCGTGGCCCTGCCCGGCTGCTCGGCGGCGGATCCCATGGCGAGCAGCAGCAGAGGTGTCTGGGGCGGGTGCGCTGCGGTGCCTCAGTGCCGGAGCTGCTGCTGCTGCTCCTGCTCGCGCCGGGCACGTAATTTAAGTGTGTGCCGCCGCTGAGTCTCTCGCTGCAGACTCCGCCTCGCGCTGACCGGCCTGTGCCCGCGGGCAGGGCGCGCGGGCGGGCGGGCGCAGCGGAGCAGGCGCCGGGCTCCGAGTCTGCCGGCTGCGGATGGTCCGCAGCGCTCGGCTCGAATCACGTGACCTGGCCTGCAGCCTCCCTGTCTCGCCGCAGCACCTCACAGACGCCGCTCCATCACCGGCCGCGCAGGCGTAGACGGCCGGCGCTCAGCCTCTGCCGGGGGTGGACGCTGCCTGCGACGGGAGTTCGCCCGGCAATGGTAGGTGCGGGGGCAGGTTGCCGGGGTTGAGTCCGGTTAGGGCGAACGCGGCAGTTCCCAGCTCCCCGCCTCCCCCCGCCACGGTCCCTCCTCCCGCTTGGCTGGGGACCCCTAGGTCACCTGGTCCCGTGGGGTGTATTAGCCAGTCCATCCCTGGCAGGTGTTTGTCTAACCTGTGCGTAAACACCTCCAGCTTGTCCCAGTGCTTACCCACCCTGACAGCACGTTGTCCTGCCCTGAGTGGGTGGCTATCCCTCGTCTCGTTATAGCAACTTTTATGTACCTGCTGACTGTTACCATGGCTCCCCCCTCAGCCCTCTCTTGTCCAGACCAAACAACCCCCTTTTATTTTTCAATCGTTCCTCATAAGTCATGTTTTCTAGACCTTTCATCATTTTTGTTGTTCTCCTCTGGACTGTCTCTTATTTGTTCACAGCCTTCCCAAAGTGAGGTGCCCAGAACGGGACACTATACACCAGCGGCGTCTGTATGAGTGCCAAGTAGAGCAGAAGAATTAGGTTTCATGTCTTACTTACAACACTCCTGCTAATACATGCCAGAAGGATGTTCACTTTTTTTGCAACAGTGTTACACTGTTGACTCTTATAATGGATCATAAACTAAATGACCCCCCAGATCCTTTTCCACAGTACTCTTTCCTAGGCAGTCATTTCCCATTTTATATATGTTCAGTTGATTATTCCTTCCTAATTGTAGTATTTTGCATTTGTCCTTATTGAATTTCATTCTATTTATTTCAGACCATTTTTTCAGTTTGTCAAGATCATCTTGTCCTCCAAAGCACTTCTAACCCGAACCAGCTTGGTATAGTCTGCATATTTTATAAATATGCTCTCTATGCCATTATCCAAATCATTTATGACAATAATGAATAGAACTAGACCCAGGACTGATCCCTGCGGGACCTCACTTGCTATGTCCTTCTAGCTTGACTGTGAACCATTGATAACTACTCTCTGAGTATACTTTTCCATACAGTTGTGAACCCACCTTACAGTATGTTCATCTAGGCTACATTTCTAGATGTTTATGAGAAGGCCATGTGAGACTGTATCAAAAGCCTTACTAAAGTAGAGAGATATCACATCATCTGCTTCCCCCCATCCCCCAATCCAAAAGACTTGTTATCCTATCAGAGAAGGATATTAGGTTGGTTTGACAAGATTGATTCTTGACAAACCCATGATACTCTTACTTATCACTTTATGTTCTTCTAGGTGCTTGCAAATTGATTGTTTGAATATTTGCTCCATTATCTTTCCCAGTACCAAAGTTAAGCGGACTGGTCTATAATTCCCTGGGTTGCCTTATTCCCCTTTACCTTGATAGGTACTATATTTGCCCTTTTCCAGTCCTCTTGGATCTCACGCATCCGCCACAAATTCTCAAAGATAAACTTCTCAAACTTTTGATCAAAATGAAACATTTAGTGGAAGGACACTGAACTAGATGGACCACTGGGAAGTGACAGATCCCAGTTCAAATCCCTTCTCCCACTCAGGTGGGGGGAGACTTAAACTGGGGCTCTCCCACATCCCAGGTGAGTACCCTAACCACTGAGCTAAAAGTTATAAGGGAGGGCCCCCTGGGCCAGCCACAAGGGCCCAAACTGGTAGGTGAGCTCTTATTGCCCTTAGTGGATTGGGCCCTACGGGTGAGTTAGGTGGAGGAACACGCATTTATGCCTCTGGTTCATGCATCTCTCTGGGGTTTAGGCATGGGGCTGCAGTGCATATGCGCAGAAGGATAGGCACAGAGGAACTTCTACTGAAAAAATTTAGTTGCTGGGCAAGTTTATAGGTATTTACAGGGCTCGGTTAGTGACTGGATGATCCCAGGTGCTTCAGAGGAAGATGCAAGAAATCCTTGCAAAAGGAAACTATGGGATTACCTCCTGCAAAGAAAAGTTTCCTCTCCACTCCTCTCAGACATTTGCATATTTCCTGAAGTACGTGTACTTATCTCTGTGAAATAGTGTACTAATCCTTTAAAAAATGATAGCTTGGAGTGTAATCAAGGAGGCCGTGCTCTGGGGTTGGGCTATATAAAGAGGAAGAGGCAACAAAGTGGAGAATAAAAGTCATGCAGGTTATAGTGCAGGGTTGTTTGTGTGTTTCCTCAGGTTCTAGACTAGCTTGAGGTTTTGTTTTGGACTTTAAGTTTGGGAGCTGTGAACCAGGGTTCTGAGATAAGGGCCTTTGAACTACTATTCCAAATGCTCCTTCCCTGGGCTATGTTAAAGGAAATATACTTATTCTGATTAGTTTGTTTTGGTTTCTCATTGAGTTGATCTGTGCAAGACGATTTATTAATGCTGCATTGAGGGGAAAATTTAAGTAAGGTGTACCTGCAGTGCCACTGCTGGCCATAAGAGGCCCCCCCTTTACAATATCTCATTTAACCCTTTTAAACAAAAACAAACAAAAAGGTTGTTACTGACCTTCTAAGACAGCGGTGGGCAAACTATGGTCTGCGGGCCAAATCTGGCCCCTGAGGGCTTTGGATCCGGCCCGCGGGACTGCCCCCTGTGGTGCTGCGGGCCCCACGCCGCTCTCCAGAAGCGGCCGAGACCACGCCGCTGTGGCCCCCGGGCGGGGGTGGGGCAGAGGGCTCCATGTGTTGCTCTTGTCTCCAGGCACCGTCCCCCGCAGTTCCCATTGGCCGGGAACAGGAAACCGCGGCCAATGGGAGCTTCGAGGGAGGTACCTGGAGGCGCAGCAAGGGCAGCATACACGGAGCCCTCCGCCTCCCCCTCCCCTCTCCCTCCCCCAGTGGCCGCAGCGCTTCCTGAAGCAGCGCGGGGCCGGGGACAGGGCAGGCAGGCAGGGAGCCTGCCCTGGCCCTGGTGCGTGCTGCTGCCAGGAGCCTGAAGCCCTCCTGCATCCCGCCCCCAACTTCCTGCCCTAAGCCCCCTGCCTGCACCTCACACCCCTCCTGCACCCCAACTCCCTGCCCTGAGCCCCCTCGTACACTCCGCAACCTCCTGTACCCCAACCCCCTGCCCTGCGCTCCATGCTGCACCCTGCACCCCTGTGCACCCCAACCCCCTGCCCTAAGCCCCCTGCCGCACCCTGCACCCCTCCTGCACCCCAACCTCCTTCCCTGAGCCCCTTCATACACCCTGCACCCCTCCTCTGCCCCAATCCCTTGCCCTGAACCCCTTCCTGTACATGCACCCCCTCCCACTCCCCAATCCCCTGCCCCGGCCCTGCATACAATTTCCCCACCCAGATGTGGACTTCGGTCCAGAAAGTTTGCTCACCCCTGTTCTAAGATGTCTCAGTCCAGAAATTCTTCAGCTTGCTTTTGATTTGATATGATAACTCTCTATAGGATGAAAAATCTTATAATTTGCAGACCACCAGTAGTGTGTGATTAGAAAAATAACAAAAATGTAACAGAGCATAGATTTCTGCAGAATTTGACATCTTGTTTGTATGGAAAGATGAAAACTTTTCATTGGCTTTCTATTAGTAGGAGTGATGAGAGACTTGGGTGAAGTCATAAGGAAGTAATTTAGGTAACTATAAAATATATAGAAGATCTTGTAAGGAAGCATCCTGGGCCCTGAGGTTTTCTTCGCTATTGACCACTCCAGCTGTTCAAGGACTGATACAGAGTAGACTGGAGCCTTCCTCAGCTACAGAGAGACTCTACAATTCAATACCTTTGAAAGTAAGGAAAGAATAAAAAAGATATAAATTAATGGATCTGAGGGGGATCTTGTAAATTTTTAAGTGTATATGAATAACAAGTAATAAGCTCATACTTCAGAGGGGAACAAAAGGAATAGAAAATCCTACATATGTATGTAAAACTAGGCCAAGTTAATGTTGCCACAATGACCTTAACCTTTGAAATGTATTGACTTTTCAGTGCTTTTAATGTTGTATTACCATTAGTTTTTTTCACTTAATTTTTTAAACATTACTTCCACATTTTCTTTTTTTTCTTTTTAAGGAATCGATTTTCACAGTTTGAGGTCTTCTGACTTAACCACTGGAGTTTGTAAGCTACTTGTATTGCAACTATTAATTTGTATATCTCACTAACTCTACTGATGGTGCCAACAGAGCTTGTATGCTCTTTGAATAAACAAGTGTAAACTGGTCTGCACAGGAGTTGCAATAATGCGTCTGTTCTGTACTTAAATAAACTTCAGTTGGCTTAAGGGATCTTTCTGCTGTATGAGCTCAGTATGCAATAGTAAAATAATTATAACAATTAAAATAATATTACTAATTACAATGACTTTTGTCTGTATATGTCAAGTGCTTTATTATGCACAGCATGGTTTGCTCCATTGTTAGGGTTGCCAGGTGTCCGGTTTTCGAAAAGGGACCCTGGTGGCTCCGGTGAGCACCGCTGACTGGGCCGTTAAAAGTCCAGTTGGCAGGGCTGGCAAGCTACCTACCTGGCTCTGCGCAGCTCCCCGTGCGCCGGCTCCCCATGTGCCAGCTCCGCAGTTCCCATTGGCTGGGAACTGCAGCCAATGGGAGTTGCGTGGGCAGTGCCTGTGCACAGAGGCAGCGTGCACCACGCAGAGCTGCCTGGCCATGCCTAACCCTAGGAGCCGAGGGACA